GCCCTCTGTGAAGGTGGGCAAAGGACCTGAACAGACAATTCACAAAGTATGACACTTGATGGCTAACAAACACATGAGGGAATGATCCCGATCATTAGTTATCTGAGAAATGCAAGTCAAAACAACCATGAGAACTGTAGGCCAATTTTTAAAAGAAACTGAGAACAACAAATGTTGGAGAGGGTGTGGTGAGATAGGAACTCTTATCCACTGCTGGAGGACTTGTAAATACAGTCACTGTGGACGGCAATATAGTGAGACCTAAAGTAGATGGCAATTAAACCACTATATAATCCAGCAATACCATCACTGAGCATATACCCCAAAGAAATAAGTAACAGATAATTAACAGACGATTGCTCTCCCCACGTGCATTGCAGCACAGTTCACAATAGCAAGAAACTGGAAACAGCCTAAATTCCCTTCAACAGAAGAGTAGATTAAAAAAAAACAACAACTCTGGTACATACATACCATGGAATACTACATATCCCTAAAAAATAGTGATGAAACACCTCAATATATGGAGAAATCTGGAAGACATTATGTTGAGTCAAGCACAAAAGGACAAATACTGTATGAGTCCTTTGAGGTAGGAACAAGCTGCAGAAAAGGCACAAGCTCAAGCTTGGAGAGCATTCAGTGTTCTGGCTGGGGATCAGCCAGCCTGGTAAAGAGCCGGATCAATGCAAATGAATCACACATTATCTGCTCCAGGAAAGTATAGTGTAAGTCACTTGGCTGGAGGGCACCTCACCACATCTGGGAACAAAGGGTCAGAGGAGAGAAGGAGGATGCTGCCTGCTGAGTGGTTGCCATGTGGATCTGGGGTGAGGTACCCTGGAGAGGGAGGTGGCCCTGTCAGAGGGATGAAGCTTACTGATGGGAGGGGCAGCGCAGGAGAGAGGAGCAGCAATGGTCTTGGGGGAACATAGGCGGATGTCTGGAGGGGGGCTGACCTCTAGATGGCGGGGAGGAGTGCCTGAGGATGCTTTAGATGGGGAGTGTCTTTAGGTGTGCAGCGGGAGGGCAACATTGAACTAGGGCATCCGGATGTGTGTGTGGGAGTATCCCAGGAATCCAGGCCAGGTGTCCTGGAATGCTGGGACACTCAAGCCTAGATCTTTGGGTGAGAGCTTATGTGGGAACTCCACTGGGTGAACTGGACTCTACCTCAAAGACACTTGTAACCTGAGGAATTAAGTTGGAAAATACATGATGCCTGAGAAAGCAAGACAGCTATACCAAGGGTGGTGCACTACTGGTTGGCACACAGACAAGGTCTTGCTATATCATCGCCATATATGCTGTATTAAGATATGTATTATTCCAACAATCCTGTGACAGACTTTCTGCCATATGTTGCTTAGGCTTGTTCATAATAGAGTGTATCTCAGAGGTGTGTTGCCATTGGGGACACCCTCTTGAATTTCTGATATTTGATTTTCTGTTTTTCATTAAATGAAACCCAAAGACATTGAGCCTATAGGGAAAGCAAATAGAACAAGGGTTGGGGGGGGGGAGATATAAAAGGGAAATGCTGCCAAGGAGTCCAGGAAGTAAAAGTATGTTTGGAGATTGATTATGGAAGCAATTGTACAATTCTGTTTGATGTGATGTGAATGATACGACATATGTATGAACTCCCAAGTTATAGCAAAAAAAAAAAACCATAGATCTAGGAATGGATTTTGGGCTTGCACTAAGTTCTTGCTTCAGTTTAAGAACATTAATTCTTACATGATTTCCCTGCTCGATACTTGCCCTCAGGAAGGGAACACAGAAGATATTAAATGTGGCAAATAATTTAGAAGTACCCTACTATCAAAGAAAATAGAATCTGAGGTCTTTTTGAAAAAAAAAATCATTTTATTGAGAGCTCATACAACTCTTATAACAATACATACATACATCCAGTGTGTCAAGCACATTTGTACAGTTGTTGCTATCATCATTCTCAAAACATTTGCTTTCTATTTGAGCCCTTGGTATCAGCTCATTTTCCCCTCCTTCCCCACTGCCCCTTCCCTCAGGAACCCTTCATAATTTATAAATTATTATTATTTTTGTCATATCTTACACTGTCTTACATTTCCCTTCACCCACTTTACTGTTGTCCATCCCCCAGGGAGGAGGTTATATGTAGATCCTTGTAATCAGCTCCCCCTAGCATCTGAGGTCTTACAGACTTGTCTCCAAACAAGCAGCCATCTAAGTGAAATGTCAACTAAGTCCACATGGAAGAAGCAGACCATTAGCAGTCATTGAAGAACTGGAATCCACATACTCCGAATTCAAAGGAAGGATCGGTATCAGAGCCTAAATTGTGAGAATCCAGTGTGCATAAGGTGATAGATGGCAGTGGGAGCCCAAGATTCACTTGTGAAACTACATAGGAAATAAGCCTTCAGAGAGCTAAAATTCAGTCATGGGAGAAAAGTGGTCACTAAACAGAATGCATTGGAGAGATGAGTATAGAAGATCAAAGGCATAAATCTGACCTGAACAGTTAAAAATTTGTCAGTATACACTGACGACAAAGTGGGTGCATAAGCAAATGCGGTGAAGAAAGCTGATGGAACCCAACTATCAAAAGATATAGCATCTGGTGTCTTAAAGGTTTCAAGGTAAACAAG